TCTATCTATCTATCTATCTATCTATCTATCTATCTATCTATCTATCTATCTATCTTTCTATCTATCTATCTATCTAAACAATTTTATAGCTCCTGTTCTCAGCCAGTACTTAGAAATTGGACTTGTTAAGAAGGAGGCGTGACTGATTTTCATTTTTAGAGACTTTTGTGGTGCATATAACATTACTGAAGTCCTAGCAATGTATGTTTAGGATAATTTTATGACGAGCTTAGCTATAGAAGAAAAATAAGATATAGATTATTAACAGTGATGTTGTTACTACAAATCATTTACTTGATCTCATTCTGAATACAGGGTTGTTATTCTTCTTTCTCTCAAAGTCAAAGACTCGTGTCGCAGTCTCAAACGAAGAGTCCAACGGAACAATGGTCACGGTCACAAACTGGAAATTGTGCGGATATTCATAAAGCTAATAGACCAGTAACTTCATTTTTTGTTTGACTGTTGGTTTATTTTTATTGTTGGTTGAGCGGGAGGTCAAACTACAATATTAGGGTTTGCATGGTCTAGAGGTACGGTGTTCGCCTTTCTTTCAATATGTCTCTGATTCAAAACCTGACAGCGACGGAAAATTTTCTTCTCTGAAATTTTCTCCTTTCCCATCCTTTCCTGCTCTCTAACAATGTTCTGTCGTCTGCTTTCGTCTCCACTTTCTGTCCCCACCCCCTCACCCCCTTTGCTCCCTCCTTTGGGCTCCCCACTTTTTCTGCAGCCTTTCTACTGCCACTTGGTTCCTTACTACTGCTGTCTTTCAGCCACAGCCCTGATCTTAGGGTAGGTAAGATCTAACACAAAACTTTCTCGGAAAAGGGAGAAAAAATCTCGGAGGTCCCTTTGTGCAAGTTGCGAGCGTTAAAGATCCCTTGGTTGTCCTAAAATCGATAAGAGTAGAATTCAAAATCAGTTCCTACCGAACTGAAAATGCTTAATGTGTCTCGAGCACTCATGTGGCCCTATGCAGGAGAGAGGGCCGTAAAACACTGACTCTCTCCCCCGCCAAAACCCCC